TCCCTGATGGAAAATGGGACATTCCTTTTCATAAAGAACAAACATCAACTTGACTGGACATGTCTGGTTTAGGGAGCCTGTGACATATGGGAAGAGTTCGTGACCACCTTCTTTAATCTGAGGGCTTCTCCTTTGTCATCTCATCCAGTGGGCATCCCTTCTATCTGGACCAAGTGTGACTGTCTTCAACATTTACCTCCCCAGGGTAGTGGGTACTCTTTTTTAAGGTGGATGTGTGATTTAGTATAAATTCCCCCAAGACCCATAAATCATAGTCCTCGAACCTGGAAAGCCAGAAGCCAAGGAACAGGAAGTGGGGCAGGGTTGGGGGTGGGGGGTGACACTGTGCTTCTTTTCCTCACTGACAGCAACATTCAGCTCTGATCCTGAGCAGAAAGGCCATGCCATCTATTGAGTCCTGTCTCTCCTCCCACTCTCTTCCTGCACCCAGGATAAGGGTAATCAGAGGCTAAATAAATGTTTGTTGAGGGCTGGATGTTTAAATGCAAGAGGATCCCTTTTATAGTCAAGCTGATTCATATGCAGTTCAAACGTTGTTGGTGCTTTGAAAATACCAACATCTGCATTCCTGAGAGCTTTTCAATTGAGTTGTCACTTATTTGAGTATCAGGCCTATTTCATAAGGATGGCATAAGAATAGGGTTTTTTCGGTGTGGGGGGGGGGCTTATAGTATTACCAAAATCTATATAGAGGAGAGTCTCAATTAATTGATACCCAATCTCATGCCAATTAGTAATAGTTTTACAATATTATGTTAACTAGGGTCTAGATCAGCATTTCGCAACCTGTGGGTCACAACCCCTTTGGGGGTCAAATGACTCTTTCACAGAGGTCCCCTGATTCATCACAGTAGCAAAATGAAAGTGATGAAGTAACAACGAAAATAATTTGATGGTTGGGGGGTCAACACAACATGAAGAACTATATTAAAGGGCTGTGGCATTAGGAAGGTTGAGAACCACTGGTCTAGATGATCAATCACCTGACTGTTCTCCCAAGTTAGGTTAATTCATGTGAAACCTGTTTCTGAATCCAAGACATGGGCCAGTTACTGGGTTCGTGGTTCTTGGCATGAGTATGGAATACTTTTGCACAGTAAACGTTAATGTTAAGACTATTACATTAGCAATGGTACTATCTATAGCAGAGGGTCAGTGAAAATGAGGAAGACAATTCTCAACAAGATGGATCGACACAGTGGCTGTACAATGGGGTCAAACATAACAATAACTCTGAGGATGGCACCGGACCGGGTAATGTTTTGTTCTGTTGTGCAAAGGAATACTGAGTAGGAACCAATTTCATGGCACCTAACAAAAATGACAGCAACACTAGTATAATACTGTACTGCAGAATAGTACAACACAGTAAAGAATAAGGTTGTTGAATGAGTCACTGGGAACATCACAGGGGACAGCAAGGTGAACTGACAAAAACAGTTTCCAAAGGCAATGTTCTGTACCCTACTTCGATGAGTGGCAGTGGGGATCCTAAATGCTTATGAGTGCCAATCTAAGATGCAGCGATTGGTCTTTCCCCATCTGGAGCAAAGAAGAGTGAAGACAATTGAAGACATATGAAAACAATTAGTTCAATGGACTAATGGACCACAGGAACTGTAGCCTCCATGATCCCTAGACCAGAAGAACTAGATGGTGCCCAACTATCACGACTGCCTTCTCTAAACGAGGTCAAACTAGAAGGCCTTGAATAGAGTGGGAGAAAAATATGGAACAAAACTCAAAATCATCAAAAAAAATATCAAACTCACTATCAGCTAGAAACTGGTGGAATCTCTGAAGCTATGGCCCCTGGATGTCCTTCAGGCCTGGAACTGAACTCAGCCATGGCTCAATTTTCAACCAAACAAACAAACTCACTGCCATTAAGTTAATTCTCATGCACAGTGACCCCTTAGGGCACAGTAGAACTGTCCCTGGGGGGTTGTGAGACTGTCGATCTTTAGGGGAGTAGAAATCCTCCTCTTTCTCCCCAGAGCAGCCGGTGGTTTCAACCCGCTGACTAATTCAAACCTGCCATGCCACAAGGTCTGCACGTCAACAACAACACTAGGGAGTCAACAATCAACCATTCGAGGTCAAGGCAGCATTTTCCCAACGACAAAGCTCAGAAGGCGGGAAGGGTTAGGCAAGAAGCGGGAATGAAAACACGAAACACAAGTCGGAAGTTG